TTAAATTACATTATAATCGTTAACTTTCTTTTTATCGAAGGTTAAATTACAGTCCACCGTTTACTGTATTTTCACTTAACCTGCAGTTGACACCCAGCAGAGGAACAAAACATTTAATAGGACTTCAGTACAAAAAAGAAGAAAGTGTCTCTAAATGGTGCATATTTGTTTAGAAAAGCTTATTTTCATTATGTGAATAAACTCCTATAGCAGCCAGGAATTTTCCTCAAGGGTAGAGATAGTTTTGGAAGCCAGTTTCTGCCACTCAATAAAAAAGAATAAATTATTGCATTATAATGAGATAATTTATAATTTTTTTTAAACAGAGTGGCAGAAACAGGCTTTCTATAGCTTCTTTTGCAATCTTCTCTCCAGCGTCCAGAGACTTAAATTAACATTATAGGTTGCTTCCAAAACTCACAAAATGTCAAGATTAATAAATGCTCAATAATATTATCAATATCTTTTTCGTTCTATCAAATAGAGCATATTTTAAACGAAAGGGCCAACTGTAGTTCTTCATTATAATGAGATAGTGTCTCCTGCCTGTATGGCAGAACGTTTTGACATTTATTAGAAGCACTGTCCTCTCTTTTGTTCCATTAGTTAATCTCTGAATAAGATAGTATCTCATTATAATTAGATTAAAAAAAATTAACAGAGTGGTGGAAACAGGCTTCCATAGACACTTTATCATATTTTTACTCAAGAAAAAGTAAAGAGTATAATGCTGCTAAACTACTCCCACTACTTTTCCCCAAAAAGTTATACTCAAATAAACCTCCAGCCAGTCACTACAAGGCAGACTAAGTTTGAATCTTTTATTTTGAAGCGACAGATCTAACCTAACCGGAAGTGGCGCTCAGAGTTTCCTGAGTCATCCTGCTGCGCCTCAGAGTGCGGAGTTTGATCGTCCCGCTGCGGTCTCGGTGGTTGTTGGTGATGGAGGGCTCCGTGTCCAACCTGGAGGTCTGTAATTTAGCCTTCAGCGGTCAGCTGGACAGTCTGCGGCAGGCGGTCCTTTCTGATAAAAGTCTGGCCTGTAAGGCGGATCAGGTGAGCGGAGCGGTGGGGCTGAGGAGGCAGCAGGTCTGGGAGGCAGGATGGAGTGAAAGCTGCTGTGTTTGTTCCAGGACGGGAGGACAGCTCTGCACTGGGCCTGCTCTGCTGGACACGCGGACATCGTGGACTTTCTGCTCAGTCTGGGAGCTGAAGTCAACCTGCAGGATGATGTGAGGTCTGCTCTGCTGAGGATGTTTGCACAAACACAGTGAATCACTGACAGCAGCGTGTGTGTGTGTGTGTGTGTGTGTGTGTGTGTGTGTGGTGTTTTAATGTCTCCAGGCCTCCTGGACTCCTCTGCACATCGCTGCATCTGCTGGCAGAGAAGACATCGTGAGGTCTCTGATAGGCAGAGGAGCTCAGCTCAACTCAGTCAACCAGAATGGATGCACCCCCCTGCACTATGCTGCCTCTAAAGACAGATACGAGGTATGAGCTCCTACCTGCAGAAACAACATATGGCAGGACGTTTAGACATTTATTAGATGCACTGTCCTCTCTTTTGTTCCATTTGTAGAAAATAAAAATCCTCCTGGTTAAAACTACATTCCTATTAGGGGTGTAAATCACATCCATCATGGCGATTCGATTCAGTATCGATTTCCTGACCCAACGATTCGATTATTTTCGATACTCAAGAATACACCACGATTCGATTCAATTAATTGGTTCATTTTTTTTCACCTTACAGGCTAGACAATGTTTCAAATTTGAAATAAATCAATGAAAGCTGTAATATGGTGGGTTGTTTTTTTTTTTGTTTTTTTTTAGAAACAACAGCGAATAGCAGCAGTAGAAAAGTTGCGCTCCACCTATTCCTATTAAAACCTCATTCACTGTAAAATAATAATCCCCCTGCTTTATAGATTCTGAAAGGCTTTGCATCAAAAAATACTGCAGAATATCAGTGCAATGAGTGCAATGCAATACCTCTGCTCCAGACGTCCCGCCCCCTCCACAGACGCTCCGCTGCTCCTCTCCCA